ACACTGATTCCAAACCATGGAAGCATATGGGCTCCAGTATCCTGAAGGAATAAATGGCGCATGAACCAATTATTGGTCATCGACTACCATGATACTGCATCTCCTGACGTTGCTCCACTCACTGCCTTGTAGATCAGACCATTAGGTAGAAGGCTCTAGGTGCGAACCCCTAACAAAATTGTCTGCTTCGGTTTGGGCACCCGAGCAGTATCGCAGCCGTCACACAAATGGAATGATTTATATGGCGCATATCTATTTAGTGCTTCCTTGTACGAATGTTCACGTGTTTAAATAATAATAATAATAATAATAATAATAATAATATTGAATTGTTAAGAATCACTTAGAACCAATACATGTTCATTGTTAAAGTTTTTCTTTATTAGATCGAAATTGTTGTTTATAAATGCAATGAGGATCTCTGTCAAATGATTTTCTTTCTTAATACAAGAAAAAATTCTCTATTGTCTAAGAATATCATACTGAAGTAATCTAAACAAGTCTTATAGAAGAAATGGATTTTGACTAGAAGTAGAGTCAAGAATTTGTCATCTGGATAAAGCTGTATTCCAGTACTGATATTCATAGTGGAAGCATGAACCCATTGCTTTTCAATTCAGTTATACATTGCACTACTGAGTTCATATGACCATTCACTTGTGCAGCACATATAAATTTAATTTATTTTATGAGGGTTTGAACTATCCCGTTGTTGATTTATTGACTGACGTTTAATCAATCTTAGTTGATAAATTTGTGTCTAAACAATAAAAAGAAATTAAAATAAAGTAGATTTAGTGGATTGATCAGTTTGTTTCCGTAGCTGTTTTCTAATTAGATGAGTAATTTTCAATCATATTCACTTTTTTATTGATTACATAGGACTCAAACAGTTTTAAGAAAATATTATATGCTGCCTTCCTGTTGTTCCAACCTGAATTCTGATCCAATTTGGATATTAATAGTAGAGAAATGCTCCCGTCTAACATAAAGTTAGCGTTTATCTTTAGATTAATACAAGAATCTACTAAAGGTATTTTACAGATTCAGAAGCTAATTATCTTGCTATTATTCATTCACAAATACTACTGAATTACTGATTCCGTGTCTTGTAACTCCTGAATAAATAGTGCGGTCAAGCCCAAACTGTTAGGTAACTGTGGCAAATCGGTTGATGAGGTCATAAATTGTTATCGATTGAAATATAAACAATGTGTGTTCTTTATGTCTAGTTATCATCAATTCTAGCATACCATAATGCCTAGAAAAAGCATTGGTAGGAAGAATAATGGTAGTCTAACTGAAACATTGTCATAGTTCGTAAAGTTATTCAAATTTGTAATGAGTTGTATTTGGAAGGTGTTGAATTCCTACCTAAACTCTATGGCAAAATCGAAACCAATAGTTAAAGTCATCAAGTCGTATAATACGAAATTGTGTACTTCTTTCTCTCTAACTAGCTTTCTTTAGCAAGGACCTCATTCCTACAATTGAAGAATATATGGAACTCGAAACAGCTTTCAACTAATATCCAAGTCAGAATCTTCAATACGATGTTGAGACAGTTCTATTGTACGGAGCCGAATCTTGGAGAACAACCACAGCAACCATCAAGAAGGTACAAGTATTTATAAATAGTTGTCTACGCAAGATGCTTAACCTCTATTGGCCGGATACCATCAACAACAGCCTACTGTGGGAGAGAACAAACCAGCTTCCAGTTGAAGAGGAAATTAGGGAAAGATGATGAAAATGGATAGGACATACATTACACAAATCATCAAATTGCATCACGAGGTAAGCCCTAACTTTGAATCGTGAAGGGAAATGGAGAAGAGCAATGTCACAGAACACATTACGTCAGGCAATAAAATAAGATATAAAAAGGATGAATAACAACTGGAAAGATCTGGAAAGCATTGCACAAGACAGGGCTGTATGGACAATGCTGGTGGATGGTCTATGCTCCTTCACGAGGAGTAACAGGCGCAAGTAAGCAAATAGTAAGTAAGCTTGCTATAACTTGAGTTTTTATTGATGTATTGTATGTTTGCTTATTCTGATCTATTTATGAACTCTGATTATTTTGCATTACGTGGATGTGTTTTCTTTTTTTTTTGAAAATAAAAACAACTAAGTAACTAATTTCATTTTATTTCAATATTGATTAATGAGATTTTTTTCAAACAATTTCACGTGTTATACCAATTAGATTGAAAGTCTAGAATTATGTTTTAGATTTCCTGTTGTTTTATTTCTTCTGTTTATTATTTCATAATAAGAACTATGAATCATCATAACAACCAATTAACTTGTAATGAGACAGAACTTGTCAGCTTCTTTGTTAACTAAACAACTTCTTAGCATGTACCAGTGGTAATTCTCTTTATTTTGTTTATTCTACCATATTTCGACGGATATTAATCTTGTGTGTTATGTGTTCATTCACACAGTATGAAGATTGTCGTGCACTACTAGGACTTCTAAACATTAGTCGATATATATAGAATGTATATATATATATATGTTTGCATTCAACTACTATGTATAGAATTTACTATTGAATGAAGCAATTTTTCGGATTATAATTTCTATTATTATTGATTGAGAATATGTCATCTTTACCTCTGATAACTTTGCTAATATCTTAAAAGTTGATGTCTTGTTATAGCATAATGATGATATAATGGTTTGGAAATTTCTAAACTATAAACAAATAGATTTTATCATAGATCGTTTAATCAGCTCAGAAAATTGGTCGTGTTTAAATTTACACTTAGTTAAATATATTTTTCATTAATAGTCGACCTATTCTAATGTTTAAAGAGGTTGCGAGTTCACCTAATCTGCGAACGAAACGAACACTCAGTGACACGATGGCTAAATCAACTATTCCGATGCGTTCCAGCCTTGCTAACTAGAGAGCGAAGTTCAAGTTCTGAAGAGGGAAAAATATATTCCACAAGCAGCCAGAAGCCGAACCTCAACAACAAGCACAACTCAAGCGTATATGTACAGCATAAAAATGTCCCTGGGAAGCGTTACAAAATAGCATACTAAAAGATACAATGAATCAATAGCGTTTAAGATCCTTCCAAGTGGGAAATACGAAGTGAAGGTGAAAATGAGTGCTTCTGGTACGAAAACGAAAAATTCAGATTTTTAAAATAGAATTACAAAAATAAAGCATTTTCCAAGTGAGTTCTAGGGACCTAACATTCCCAACAACCTAATATTGGGTAACATTTCCAGACAAATCGGAACAACAACCATTTTTGTTACATTACTATAGTCATTCACTACAAACAAATATCCAAAAGCATAAGCTCAGATTACTTAATTTATATTTTACTATAATAAGTACTATACAAATTGTATTGCTTCATTTTTTTCAAGTTTAATATTCATTCTTAGAATTAAACTATATATCAAATTCACTTGGTGTTGTTTACTTGTATCTTTCCATTGTTATTTAGGACTGCAATTGATCAGTCCTTTGTTGGCATGTGTACATTCTGTAGATAACGCGATGGCGTTTGAAGCGAACGGTACTGGGTTCGAGTTCTAGAGTGAACATCAACTCTGAGATGCAGGTACATCCAGCTGACGGATCCTGAATAGGACGAAACTCGCATCCTGTATTCCACTGCTAGCCACTTTCTATCTTTTCTTATAAATTATAGATCGTTTATCCACATTTTTGTGATAAATTTTTTATAAAGAACCGAATTCAATTGATTTTACCTAATTGATAGGACGATTTAAAACGCATTATTATTGATCATTGATTAATCAGCATGCATATAGCTGATACATAATCTTCTGCAATATATAATTATATAAAATATTTGATTAAAAGACAAGTTAAGCTACAGATACTTCGTGACTTTAATAATGAAAGTAAAGTGAATGAACCATCATTGTGTTTAATCAAGATAATGACTTGTAAAGTTTAACAAGAAATTTACATACTAGTACTATTATTCAACCTTTAAATTATGCATAGTTTTATTATTATTATTATTATCATATTCTTGGTACAGTATAGAATTCTCAGCACAAAGTATTTCAACAAGTTTCTGTTTCTTATTTCTTGATCGATCCTAACGATAACATATTGAGTGATTACCAATTAGATGTTAGCAATTCAGAAATCGACATCCGAATAATGTACATTCTTTCCGCTGCACATTGCTAGCCACCACGATGCCTCTGATTGAACTTTTTATAACTTGTACAACGAAAGGTTGTAAGCTTTTCATAAATGCACCTAAATAGATTGTGCAATTAATTGACATAATGATCTGTTGAAACAAACAAAATACAGATAACTTGTTGAAATATCTAGATGGCAGGAACAGGTAGTCCAGATATTCGAGCAGGCCGTTCTTAGCTATATTTAATGCTGAAATAACATATAATTAACAAAAATTAGGTCTATTTCTCCATCATGGAAAAATTATTCCTTTTAATAAAGATTCTATTTGAAATGTAATTTAATAACGATTTGGTACTGTTCATGATAAACTCTCAACTAACTCGTTTATTCACTAATCTAGTGACTGATTAGCATTTGTATGTGTTGTATAAATATGTTTGACAAGTTTGGAATGTTCACTATGATTGGTGCTGTTGTTCTCAATTAATACCCTGCTTAAGGCCAGTCTAATTCACCTTTCACAAATTCTTTACATAAACATTATGCGAACTATAAGAGACAGCCTATAAAAGTACTTATGATTTTGTAAAACATTTGAAAGTGTTATATTCCGATGAGAATAATGGATGATAACTGTTGGAGTCTATTTCTGGACTATGACTATATGTATACTTTTTGTTGTATAATTGTTAAGTAACTAAACTATGCATATTCTTATTCCTCTTGTCACAAGGTATATTTTGACTTATAAACTATCATTATACGATTTACCATTCTTGAATTATACCCTGTCTACCAATTAATATATCCCATATTCTTTTGTAATATCAGAAACAATTATGATAATAATTAACATTTATTTTGTTCTATCATATAATTGAAATCAAGGTAAATTACTTTTTTTAAAAGTAAAAATAAAAAAATTTAAAACTAATTAACCTAGAAGCAGAATAAACGGCGCTTTAAATTATTTTCTTCTTTCTTTTTTTGTCATGATTAACAAAGCCATAGATACAAATGGATAGACAAAAAGATAAATAGTTAGATAGACATGTGTTGGATATAAATGAATCTGTGTACATGGTGTTATCACTAGAGCGAAAGAAATAGAGAGAGAGGGGAGAAGGGAGGGAGGGAGTAAGAGAGACAAAACAGACAAAGAGAAAAAGAGAAAAAAATGGGTATGAAATTGAAATAATTCAGACAAAGAAAAGAAGAAAAAAGAAGAAAGAAAATAAAAGACAAAACAAATGGAATGGTAAAACATATTCATTATAAATAGATTCGAAGAAAGATAGATAAGGAAATTGTTTATTCTATAATCAATCTGATCAAATACCTTTTCTTTAATGGTTATCTAACTTAGGTAGATCCGTGATCTCAGTAACATTAAACAATCTTCACAGATGCCACCTACCTCATATTGATCGAATTTCATTGAAATAAGCTGATGGTTAGGATTTTTAAAAATGTTAATTAGGACTTTCGCTGACAGTAGTTGTATATGCGTGGCCATGTGAGAGAATTTGGATAGGGAGAGTTGAGTCTTCCCACTCTCGGCCATACCAGGGCATTTGGTTAACGTTTTTTAGCGAGTTAATTTTCTATGGGATTGGTCTGCTAACCCCATGCCCAACCCTCACCCTTTATCCAGGCTTTGGACCGGCAGTAGCCCCAGAGGGTCTGCAGGCGGAGTTACCATAGCATTCATCACATTCAATACAAATCTATACCCACCACTGATACCGATAATAATAATAATAACAATCAAATAACTGGACAATAATTCACAATACCAAAGAAAACACGCTTGTAATAATATTAATTGTTACTAATCTCTTGAATTGTTAGCTCATGTTTCTCTCTAACTGTTCTCTCTTCAAAATTCTCTTATAGACACATTACTCCATATACTTATACCCACAATACATAATGTATTTATCTCTGATTAAATTAAACTGAAACCTAACAAAAACTGAATGTTCTACATGAATTCATTTTAGTTGATAACCATAAAAAGCATAATTTAATTTTATTATGTTCAATGAATTTACATACATATATTAACCTAATATAGTCTAGTTTATAGAAAGAATAATGATTATGTAATAATAATAATGATAATAGTAATAATAATTTTTAAAAAATTAATGTCAAAGTTCATAAATATGAAATAATAGAAAAATAAATGAAAAGGAAATCATTAATTTGACATTTGTATATATCTGTACATTTAGATGAAATGTAGATTCAGTTTTGCTTTTTTGTTGTATGTGTGTGTGTGTCAAACAAAGGAATCATCATCAAATGAAAAAGCCATGAAAAATAGAGACAGAGAGGGAATCAAGAAAGATGAACATCACCAGTTACACCAATGTTTATACAATAATTGCAGCAAATATTTAATCATAAAAAGAAAGGTAATAAATTAATTGTTACCATTATGAGAAATTGATTATGTTTAATGTAAATAAGAGAACAATGCCTAGTATGAAATGATAAGAAAGAAAAAACGAATAATAAGATTTAACCGATTAAAAGAGATAAATAAATAAGTAAACCTGACATATATATGGAGAGAGAGAGATATATATATATGTAAATAGATAGATATACATCAGATTGTTTTGCTGAAGTTCTTCAAAGCTATTGCATAACATAAACTTTTGTTTAGATCAACAAGGAAAGCACAAAAATGTGACGAAATCATATTAAAGAATTACACGACAAGATGTAGCACAGTATCATTGTGTTGCATACATACAGATGAATATATATGAAGAACCAATAATTATATTATGTCAAACTGTTAAATTACAAATTCTTCATGAAAAACTTTATTGTTTCGTGGAGCTTAGTATAAAACACTAAAAATCCTTTCTTTCAAGTCATATAAATAATAATAATACAATTTTTACTCTCTTGTTGTATTCTTAATAAGTTTAGAGCACCATCCATTTATTGATGGAAAAATCAATCGTACAAAAACCGTGTACCTTTTTCATTGATAAATGCTAAGGATAAATATGAATATCAAGAATAAGTCAAGGATAAGTCAAATTACGAAAATCAATACTGGAATTTACTAAATTTCACCTATTGAAATTGCAGGATATAAATTGTCAATCTGTAAATTTCAACACATAGTTCACAATATACATAGAATGAGAGTTTTAACAATAAAGATCAAAGGCTGTCAAATGTCAGTAAATTAAAGATGACAATTAGGAATTAAATGTTACTTATAAATAAAAATACTGAACAAAATAGTAAGAAATAAATTAGATACATAAATATAAATATATGCGCATAAATCTTTATCACAGGTCAAAACTATCACTTCGTACTGTTCTAGTAGAACTGTTCGATCGAGAAATACATGAGCCAGCACAATTGTACGATGGTTCAAATTGTAAATAGCTAATAATTCTACGTGGAAGATCTAACTGTTCAAGGTATTCATCTTTGCAGAGCTAAAAAATAAAAGAAATATTACATTCACATGCACACCAATATATCATGATTGAAACTGAAAGCAATGAAACTCTCGGCTGCACAAAAGTCCAATAAGCTGACAGGAAAGTAATATTCATGAACCCATTCATCAGATGAAAATTCATTGGGAATTAGTTAACATTTTTCGTCACCGTTTACATAACAAGTAAATGTTTGTGCATACGAAATTAGTGTAACTATCCGACTGCACACATTGAAGCATGTGAAGTGAGGCTAAAACTTGCTTTCAACGAGTTGGAAAACTGATGCCTCAAAAAACACTAAGCTCTACGAATAGTATCACATATTAGATCAAAAAATTGAAATGAAAAGTGAAATGTAAAATTAATTTTGAAGTTGGATATCACCCATGGGATGTAATTGGAGAATTTACTTACAAATGTTACTTTGATTCTCGGTACCTCAACCCCAACGTCTCCAACCACTAGTCACATTTATTGCGAGGACCTCAAGGAGCAATTCTGTACCTACCAACATAGCATTCACAATATAACTAAACGTGTTGGTTTGGTTGACCTTAGCTTTCACTTTCCTACTCTTACTCCAATATTCCGAGTCAAGGTAGGCACTGACTTGGCATACATATCTCGATCACTTCAGCCTATGAAGATTAGTATTCTTACCAACTGATTTAATATCTTTGCCAAATACCCTGAATCTAATTGCAACATTCCTCACTGGACTCTAATATACGCGCGTAATGACTCAAAGACAATAATGATCAAATGATAATAGCTCATGAATGCTCTTTATATTTAAAGATCGTGTTTCTGACATAAATTAAAACAAAGCAGACAACTGTGCAGTATACTGACCCCTTCGTTGGTGGATGGATATCTTGCCTACATTACAGTGACCCATATTGATGACCTTTCCAAATCCGTGCCGACATTTCATGAGACCTCAGCTCACTAAAGTTAATGAGGTGCTTACAAGATAAGTAGAATGATTAAGACTTCGAATTATTTTAATCCCAAATATTAGTCTAGACGTTAAGGTAGATCAGTCATACACCAGCATTTCGCATTAGGAATTGTAGTCAGTTCGTTTATTCACTTATAAACTATTAAAAGCTAAATAAGCATTTTCCTATATATCCACTTCATATGATAGATATTCACTCGACAGGGTACTAAGTATGGTTATAATATGCAGGGTAATTTGTGTTCGAACTCAAACGGATATAGTGAACTAAACATAACAAAAAAGATCTGAAGTATTTCCTTACTTGACGAATTCGTTGTCTCACTAATGCCTGTAGTTTTGGTGGCGGAGGTAGTTGATAAACCAGAAGCACATCAATTTGTACCGTTGAATTTACCACTGAAGTACCAGCAGAAGTAACAACAACACCACTACTATTACTGGTACGTGTGGATACTGTGGCAGTACAACTACTTGAGGAATTACACTGAGTTCCAATAAAAGAAGATTCAAAGGAAACAGCCATTGGACGATAGGAAGAAACACTTAACTCTAAACTTGAACAACCAGTCATTTGTCGAAATGGTGAACTTCCGGAAGACAAGTGAACTTTTGACAATGGAGATGGTAATGATGTAGATAGATGATGACTCAAATTAAGGTTTCTTGGTTGAATAAGCAAACAGGCTGGAGATATAAACGGTTGTTGCTTCTTGAATTCAGTCTAAAATAACACAAAATGACGGGTTTCTATGGGAGTATTAAAGTAGTTATGTAAAAAAAAGTTTAAATATAATGTCTTGAAAATACGACAATAACTTTTATATGCATATTAATACCTCGATACCACAACTGCTTTCCGTTCTAGCCCCAATTACTGCAAAAGAAAATCCTTCAAGCAAGATTTATCGATAGAGATAGAAGAAGATTGGTTTAAGCAAATAATACATGTGTATAAATGAGCTTACAAATACATCGGAGAAAGGGTAAAGATTTAACACACTGAAAGACTCAAGGACAGAAGAAAACAGCTCAATTTGTTCATGGTAGACAAAAAAGGATGGAGAGAAAAGGAATATTGAAACTTAAAAAGTAACAAAATAAGTAGTTACTAACTTGTTCCCTGGGGGTGTAAAATAGCCCAACAAAGTAATATTTCCCTAAACAGAATAACCGAGAACAGTTAAAGTAGAAGTCAGTCAGTTATCTACCTCTCAACTATAAGTTTCAATCCAGAATAATTCATTCTCTAATTAAATCAATACCAATTATTAGAAACAAACTTTATTCTTTCATACTGAATTATTCTGCAATACTACAACTAGCAAAGATAACAATAATGCTCAATAAACAAATGTAGTTTAATTTTATTCTTAGAAATCACGTAAATAAAATCTAATTTATTGTGGATATGTTTATCAAGTTAACAACTACAAGAAACCACCAAGAATGTTTCATACAGTCTTTTTTAATCAGTTTAAGAAGAATAAAAGCACAAATTTGAGCAGTGGAATAACACGAACTCATTTTACTTCATTTCGCTTCCTATTTAACTTACAACCTGAAATTAAAGTTTTAAATAAGGTCTATCATATTTATAGAAGTTAAGTTGGTTGGAATTTGATGTAATAACATATCAGTATGGTACAGTAAATATTCTAATAGAGTTGAAAAGGACGAGTGAAATGTTACAACTATTCTAGAACTCCGATCATGCTGATAGTAAAAGACTGTCAGGCTAAAACTAAGTAATCATGTAGTTGCGCAATGGAACACAGAATAACGATAAATGAGGATGGTATGAATTAAATTTAATCATAAATATAATCCGAAAAAAATAAGTGAGATGAAAGAATAAAAACCCAAGAAGATAGAGCACGCGTGTTATTTTCTCCCTGTCATTACTTATGAGCTATGTCATTCATCATCTACAGTCACTAATCATGAGTATTGCCTGAGGCCTAAGTAGGAACTCTCTATGTGGATGAACTAGTGTTAGGGCTGATCCCTTCTACCTGGGTGCACAGAAGAACAAGATGTACCGGTGTGGAAGATGCTTACCACAGTATGTTTTTACATGAAAACTAGTTTAATTATACAACAAATAACGCAGGTAGAAAGTCCGTTATGGGTCATCCAAGAAATTTAAAATGGTTTACAGATGAGTCTAGATATTTTACAATTCATTGCAATACTAGACTAAAAATAAACTAATATTCAAGCAAATTAATAAAAATCAACCACTATAGAAATTTTTTGGGCTTAAAGTATGGACTAATAAAGTAGACAGATAATTGCAAACAGTTTTTTAAAAATTATACTTTAGAAATACGAAGAAATCATTTTACACATAGATCTTATGTCACTACAAAGTAGTTACACTTCGCATAGGATACTGCAGTTGTAAGACTCAGATGATAATTGTATCTACTTCTTAGTGAAAATGTGAAAATAACAACAATAGTAACGAAACAATAATAGTTGACTTACGCGTTTTGTAGAATTTTCTTTGCTGGTTTCTTGACTAGCACTTTTGTTAATCACGCATTGTGAATTAGAACAGCCTTCTACACTTATAGATGGAACGGAGTGCCTTAAAGATACAGGAAGCGTCTTACAGCTGGAAAACAGGTATTCACGTGAATTATTACTGGCGTTCTGATTACTAGTACTATTATAATATCCCACTGCTTGTCGTGTAATTAAAGCTATCCTTGATCCACAACGGCTCATTACGGGTAGGTAATTGGTAGGACATGTGTGAATTGGGCATACTGATCGATCAAATCTCAAAATTCTTAACCTTTCTAATGTATCAGAATTGAAAATAGTAAGCCACAAAGTGGTGCAACCAGGCAGTGTGGGAGCCAACATTGGGGATGTACTATTATTTTTTGGATTGTAACGTGTATTTGATTCAATACACTGTGTTGAAACCAAGTTCTTTTGCTGAGTTCGACCACTTTCAGTTCCGTTGTTTGTTGGTCGGCCTGAACTTAAGGGGTTGCAAATATCATCTGAGTAACCAGATACATCTGGTAATAAAGAATTCACAGAATGGTTAATATTACCAATGGCAGAACATCGACAGGTTCGAGACTCTGTGGTGATTGTAAATAAAAAATAGCCATCTCTTGAATAAAATATGCTCATAATATGTGGAAAAACATGACTGAATGAGTTCGGACTGGGTAAACCACCTACATGGTTAGCATCTGATGATCGTCTTCTTCTTGTCGGTTCTCTACACGTAGCATTGTTTATAAAAGGTGAACCGTGACGATTTGAAGGAGACCAAGAACAAAGTTTGTTAGTTGATGTTAAACACTCCCATGTTGGAAGTTTTACCAAACTTATAGTAGCCTGTATTCCTGGGACCCAGTTGGAAGACACTTTGTGAGAGTTTGGTCCATGTGGAAAGTCCACGTTAGTTATTGCTATGCGTGAATTTACAAATCGTGGATCAAAAGCAAACAACACCTGAGAAGAACGAGCTGGACCTAGTTGAAGTTGATTCTCATTTTGTACATTCCCTCTAAATTTTGCAGTTACTGAGTTGGATGTTGATAAAATATCGTACGACGGCCGAATATTTGACTCTCTATTATTTTCCTGATATGGGCCTAATGGCAGACGGAAACTGTTTAATGGCACTTCATCGTAATTAGAAGAATTAGCTAATGGAAGTTCAGAAATAAGTTCACTATTTCGTAAGTTGTACAGCTGGAACGACAATGAAAAAATACATCAAAAACAAAGTAAATAATCATAGTATTATTATTTTCACACTACAACGAATTTCATCTAATTAAGTTAGATTACTCAGAGAGATAGTGGATGACATTTAACATTTAAAAATGTATAAACACCCAAATTTTCATGAGACAACACAGGGAAGATAAATCAACAGATGAAATAGAGCATTGAAAGTGAAAAGTGTCTTCCAAACAAGTACCAAATACCTATTTGTACGAAAAAAAGACTGTTTTTAGATAGCACTTGCACGCTGAGTCAAGCAAACGTTCAACGTAATGTATCATTCAACCATCTCATATTTACTTCATAAACCGGTCTACCATTCTTAATAAAGACTATGCTTAAAATCAGTCTTTACTAATCTTTGTTCTATGTGTAGATATAATTCATCTGTCTGAGTGAATCATTTGATCTCATCTTTTTCATATAAAACTATTAAATTATTACTTATGATTTATCCCATCGTTAGTAAATAATGATAATCATCTAAATACAGAGCACAAACTGTGTTATAATACGACGAAACTCTTCAGTTTTTCTCATCAAAATATTTACAAGCTAACTAGTTTTTCATACTGTAGTGTCTCATGTGTTTTAAAAGAAAATAATTGGGTGAAAACAATGAAAATCATCTTAGAAATTCAAAAGTCCTAAAATACCTTTAAGCTAAAAATCAAACTTTTAACAAACGCATAATACCAGATGAATATTTTACTAATAAACCATATAAAAAACCTTTTATTTTGATTTAATTTTATGTGAACAGCTGAATTTTTTAGCGCATTCTCAAACTACATGAAATAAAGCCAATATTTATAAAACAATTGCAGATAGCAAACAGCTCTTCTAACATGAAATTCTTCTTAAACTTCATGAGACCCAACGTATTTACATAAGGTGATACCAGAGATAAACTTTATATAAGTCTTAATAAATAGTTCATTCTTAAATTACTATAAAAAGAGAACAGTGGCTGACTTGACTTGTACGAAAACTTTAACAGCCTAAACTCTGAAAAGAAAAAAATGGAGCACAACTGAGTTACTTTACTATAAAACAGCTAAACCATGAATATATGTTGCACTTAATATAAGTTCCTCCCAATATTTAAACGGAACTCAAATACCAGTATCATTAAATCAGCTACTAAACCCACACCTAATCATAATCTTCTTATTTTAAAGGGTTGGGCATTTTCTATTTATTTCAGAAACTACTTGACAGAACGGTAATTATTAAATGAAACTTAAAAATATGTTGGAATAAACGGGACTTACCAGCTATTATGCTTCGGTAAGTAAACGGTGAATGACGAATCATGAAAAATAATGATTCCCACGTTTTTTGAAAACAAATACAAGGAAGAATGATAAACAATAGTTACACATCTGAATAGATGAGTGTCACTATATGTAAACCATTCATTTAGCACTTAAGTCACCTACAAAGGTGAAATTTCCAAATAGAATTCCATTATAAAAGTCTCCATTGAGAAGGCAATCAAAAACCGTCATTGGATGTTTGTTTTAAGCATGGATAAATGTTTTTCTACTACCTCGAAATGATTTTGAAGGGACGAATAATCTTAATCTTTTATAGTACCATCTGTTCCAAATCCTAAGCGCGTACACATGATTTGTTACTTAGTCAAAAAATTAAAAAGATTAGCACGCAGAAACTATAAGTGATCATTGTTACATGTATAGACCACACCTGTAAAAGCCATGTTAGACATGTAAGACAATAACATTCCAAGAGTGCTTAAGATGTGTTAACACAAATAGAATTGTAAAACATTACCGTTCCTAACGTTTCATTTAACGTTTAGTTTTCTATTTTTGTGTTTGACTGACCAGTAACTGATCGTTTCTTGATTACTAAGAAACTATTTACATCACTATGCATGTCTTTCGTCAGCTATGCAACTATTCTACATTCCCTAATAAGTAACAGATTCGGGTGACAATAGTAGGATGAATGTCCTAAGTATTAAATAGTATACAGAAGTGAATATTGTAATGAAACAAACGAAGGGTAATATGGATAACTGTGAAATTTTAAATTTAGACTTTTACGTAATTAAACTAAGTAGTGTCCCGAAAACAACTTTAGTTTAAACATACGCATGTAGTAGTCATCATAGCAAAACTAGTAATCAAAGCACTAGAAAGTATCCATGTTTATGGTAATATTGCCAGATAGAAGACAAACTTAGGTTAATCAGAAGAATCCGTTTATTTTTTGATTGGCACTTAAATATTCACCAAGCATCCTATACGATCGTCAGTGTTTGCAAGTTTCGAGTTTATGCAGTTAACAGATAGTATTATTGGTAAGCTGTTTAAACCTTGACTATACGTCTATATGTATAAGTAGCATAACGACAATCAACCGTCAAGCTTCAATTATTTTTAAATTCAACATAATACGATATCATTTCTCTGAAGCCTGAGTTTTAGGTGACAGTTACTCCACTTGAAAATATTGATTTAAATAAATCCTCACCCCTCATCAAGAATATACACATATATTTGTCAAAATATGTAAAGAAAATACTGACATACAAAAATAAAAAGCCATTAGAACTGTCCGTAGAATATAACGTGAAAATAACTGCAGCACAAATCTTCTACAATCAAGGTACTAAACGCTAAGAAGTATAACTGATTACATACCTTGAGTATATAAACTCTCCTATTTCTCGACCAAGGGAGTCTAATTAAACAATAAGTTCCATCGGGTGATATTTTTCCTATGGTTGATTCAGGGCTAAAGAGAACCGTTTGCCGACCAAAAGAACCAAGGAATTTATTAATCCTTAAATCAACTAATGCAAACTGAGTTATCATATCTCGTGCCAAATGAACAACTGCCAATCCACTGTGAATGTCTAACACCGATTTGAAGTGTAAATTCTAAAAGTAGTTCTTAACTAAAATTCAAGTACCTGTATGGAAGATAAATGAGCAGGTATGTGATTATACTCGAAATGTTCAGCCATTTTTGTATATTCTCTTCGTTTTCTCAATGAGAAAACAGAACACGATTTTCGAAAATTCACAATATTTTGCCTAGTTAGACAAAATGCCGATGTGCAATCATGAGGCAGTTGATAGGTACACACCATCACCTTGTCTGAGAAGTTGAAAAGTTCTAAACATGCCTTATGAGTAAAATATATATCACGTTACCCCGGTGAGATCTTTTCCATAACTCCAGAGTGCATTGGTGAATTATTCTTCCAGGTGAAACAGGAGCAAAGAAACACAAATTTGGTGTGCTACAGTTAGCTTTGTTTGTTTGACCAATTTTGCTTTCCTCAAGACCCATCACGAGTGATAGCTCATGATCTACGTGAAATAGAGCGCGGACAATTCAGACAAAACGGTATACTAATGACCTTACAAAGCAGTTTGCATAATACGACTTTCAATTCCCAATAAAACTTTACTGAGCTGGCAAAGTGGTAAACAATTTTTAACTCAAACTTTAAATTTTTTAAACTAAGTGGTTCTGTTTAAGCAATAAAGTGGATCGTGAATATGCTGTTTAACATATTCGTTTTATAATAGATGTTACGATATTTTGCTTCCTAATCTTCATTCCAGCTCAAAATATATCCAGTCTAACTTGTGGCATACTTTCCAAGTCACAAGTGATGATCACTTCCTTGTTCCCAAGCTACATATATAGTGGTTTGACATGGACATTAATTCATTTGGTTTGGTCAAATCAAATCAAACTAAGAATCTCTTCTAATAACGAATAGATCGATCTGGTTTCTTTTAGATCACTAGCACTCCAGCAATTCAGCGACGAAGACCTGTTCTCCAATCTTCAGTGTATCACACCTGGAAGCTAGAGACTGTTCAAACCAGTCGAACCTTCACTTATATGCTCCTGGTCCAGAAAAACTAAGTCTCCCTCAAGAAGCTATATGTATCGGGGTGGATTTCGACCTTGAAATGCAACAACAGATTCATGGAATATATGCTCGATATCCGTTGTGAGATCTATTGGTTGTCAGTGTAGCATAACAAAGCAAAATTCTGAGCTCAATGTAGAATTGCTTTAGTGGGGTGACCTGAACTGTTCAGTACATCACATATAATGACTATTCCACCTCAAGATGGCTAAAATCGTTCGAATTGTTCAGAACATCTCATAAGTCAGTAAAGCTATCCATTGTTGAAAGAAGTGAGGTGTGACGCAGTTCTTAGTTGTGTATTTCTAGCGTCATTGTTTTCTGTCAACAAGATTCCTAAGCTGCATTCCGTTAAAAAGTCTCGATTTGATGCTTGGTTGATATTTCAGTGACTAACGTTCCAGTTAATGGGCTTATTGCCACCCACACAATGTGAATCATGATGGATCAAATGTCCTTGAGTGTTTTATCATTACGAGATGCTCATCTGGCACATCCTTTCCTTCTCACACTGCCTGCTGTAGCAATCATCGGTTAAACCTAGAAAAACTGGGGATCACCATCACTATCAACGCCAAATATCTGCAATGCTCACACATAGAATGTTCTATTCCCCAGATTATTAGAATTAAGAGATGAGGAAAAGACAAACGAGTACTTAGCAATAAGAACAATTCAGATGATAAAAGAGTTGTTAGATCGGGGGATGAGGCGAAAAATACAGACTTCAGGTTGATCAGCCTTACTTTTTTCACTATTCCAGTACAAAGTCACTGGCTATTGGAAGTCAAAGATACTTTGAGAGGAGTATTGCAGTATGTCAGAATTTGACATCACATACATTAAATTGTGTTGCTTAAGTAAGGAATCAATGACTTTGATATGGGAACGTAGAGTATGATTCTGTCAGCATAACATAGGTAGCTCAGAAGAGAGAATAGACTCGTGGTTAGGGAACTTTGAGGACACAACACCTACTCATACAGGGCTTGAAAATCTACTAGAGTTGGGTTGTCTTGTTTTAAGATGAAGTCAGTAAATGCTAATAGAAGGAATATGCAGCTTCCTTACACGCAAAATAGAACAGAGAACAGCTTTCCTGATTTATTTGGACGTTGGGATGTCTAAAGTATGAATCATTACTCATATTCACGATCTTCATTCAATAATTACTGAATCATCACAGTACTGAGGATGACTTTCAAAAAGGCTGTTGGTCAAAAAACTTAGAGCGGTAATCAAAGCACTAGAATGCTTGAGGATAGGGTCTAACACACGTTAAGACAATTGTGGGAAGCAATAACGGCAGGTAAGTCTACCCGCGTATAATCAAATCATTTTCTAAATTACTCATGTTCAAGCACCCCTGGGCACCAGATTCAACTACATATTCGATCGAACACACTATTGTATTATCAGGCACGTCGCATTCCATTTCATAGAAGTGAATAATATAGCTACGTGAGGAACTTCCCTCCACGTGTCGATAAACAATGAGAAACCATGAAACGAAGTATTATGAATGCCACCTAGGGCGATTTCGCTACAATAACATTCAGACCAGGTAAAGGAAGTCCATTACAGAAAAACTATATCAAGTGTCTGGTTCATGCAAGAAGATAAGGACGCAACAGATGAAGAATTATAACAAGGTTTTTTCAACCATAATCCGTAATTCAGCATGCGATATTTGAACGATCTGCTGTGACCATAAAATGCCGGTTCATGTAATGTTCCTTGGTTTCGCATAAGCCTTTGACACAATACTTCATGAACTTCTCATAGCAAAGTTTGAAGAGATGGGATAAACTAGTCCATTTTATTCTGGCTCCGTAACTACCTAGACAACAGGATGTTTTGTGCCAATGTAAATAGAGTGCTGCAGGGTCTCATCATAATGAGCTTCACAGGAAATAATCTTATGTCCACTTATGTTCCTGATCCTTGTTGATGACCTTTTAGATATAATTGGGCCGGTGGCACAACAGCATGCAAATAATGAGAAAGTCTGAAGGTTCATAAAACGTGAAAAGGATTCATTTGATCTCGAGAAGAACCTTATAACAATCGAGGAATGGACAGTAGACAACGGGTTAAAACTTGACTTGTTGAAATTTCATGTCCTGAACATTCTGCCTCAATCGACACAAAGTACTTAAACTCCCCATAAGAATTCACCCTCGATTATCTCCCCAGAGATTGATCTCGGGCTTTTAACCACAAGCAGACTATATACCAGTTCAAGATTACACGGAAGATCTAGCCAAGGCAAACGAAACTCTTCACTTCATGTGTAGACAGCTTGTAGCAACCAATTCAGAGTTGTTCCTAACACTGTTCAAAACTCACACATGGCCTCATCTTGAAGTCCACAACGTTGTTGTGCCTTCTCTTTTCAAAACGGATATAAATTTAACCAACCACACACCGAAACGAGTAACCAAGTTAGTGATAGGGCTTAATCCTAAATCTTACGTGGATAGACTTCAGCATCTGAGATTATCCTCACCGAGCTATAGTAGAATAAGGGATGATCTGGTGATGGCATACAGCACATCAAATATACAAATCTCACGAGCATATTGCCAGAACTTTGTCATCACGCTCCTTGAGGCCACCCTCGAAAGACTGCAAATCAAAAAGCCAACACCTAGGTACGCTCTCACATTCTCTCACTGCGCGTTGCTCCCATTTGAGACGCTATGCTAGCCGAGGTGACCAAGGAGCCCTCAATGGATAGCTTTAAGAGGAGATTTCACAGACAGAACCATCCTCCTTTTGGGTAAGTTGTGTTTGATTCATTTCTGATTAATTATCACAGTTATCGTTGCCGCAATCACTTCCAATCTCTCTTATCATCATCTCCGTTTCCCCTCTTATTCTTTCGATTCCGTCTATTACATATTACCAATTAATACAATTATCTACTTGTTCCTGAGACAATCATTTCTTAGCATTTGAGTTATCCCTTTATCATCTCCAAATTGTAACCAATCAACTTCCTCCCTGATAATGTGATAGATGCTGGTACTTAGAAATCCCACTGCCCTTGGATAATTGGACTCATTCAACTACATGACATGCAAATCCAAAAATAACTACTAAAGCAGATAGAATTAGGGCCAGACTACCACACATTCGACACGACCAATTACTGTACCGAAACTGTAGCAAAACAACAAGAAGAAAGTAGGTTTATACAAGCTCGTAACAAAGATTTTGGATATTGTGCCTTGGCTTAGCGAATGTGAGAACATCACGCTGAGCAATGTTGCAAAATTGAATCCGCTTTCCTCAGTATAGTAGAATGGACCATACTCGGTTAATGAGAAGTGTTCTTGTTTAGGTGCTGCGATTTCCGATACAAGTACATTTCACCTGTCAGGGTATGGTCTATTCCGCTATATTGTGGGAAGCCGTTTCAATCCAGGCAACACAATTACCAAGCCGAGGCACATCACCAGAAAACTGGAAGTTGGCTCACATTATAGTGATTTTCAAAGGAGGTCAACGAAGCAGACCTTCAGGCTACAGGTCGATAGCACTTCTCTCAATAACCTCAGAAATTATGGGGTCTCTGATGTTTAATGATCTGCATGACTATTTGCCATCTATAAACGTCTTTACAACACAGCATCATGGCTTCAGGAAAAGGTTTCTTTTGTATAAATAACCTGCTGACCGCTGTGGACAGATGGACAACTATGCTTGATCACAAGAGGAAGGCTACCGTTTAATAATGTAATTTCTGAAAAGCTTTTGATGAGGCCCATCATGTAACGACCGGACTGCCAGTATTCGGTTTGAACGCAGGACTGACGAACCGAAATTTATTCTGTACCAGGAGTTTTTGAGATACTCGCATTAAATTATATCAAAACACAAACTCTGTGCTCAATTTGAAAGGTTCCAATTTAGGAAATAAAACAAATTATATCAAAAATACAAAATACCCCAAACGGTACAGCCTGTACTATACAGTCAACAGTTTCTCTATCGCAAAGTAGCGCGCCAAACAATAAAAGAAACAGTTAATACCAAAGGGTTCGATCGATACCTGAGAATCAATAAAAATTTCCTCAACAAGATGGGATCAAATATCTACCTGCAGGGATTCCAGCAATCATCCCAAGCAGACGGTCAAAGGTTAACGCCTTCGCAATAAACCATGCCGTGACCGTGAAATTAGTCAAACACGACCCTACTGTCAATTGTCCGGCAACATGCAATAGAAAACTGGGCAATAAAAGATAAATTTTTAATCAAAATCACATGATAAAGGCTCATAGGAGGAAGACTAAAGAACAAAAGATGTGGTTAAACGAGATCTGAACAAAGGTTAAAATACACGAGAGGGAGAAGAAACAAATAAATGACAGTACTGTCCAACAAAAAAAGCTGCGGAGGGATTTTCATCGTTCTTTTTCCGTTACACATCATATATACCTCATCAATAGGCTCAAATGGCTAGGTATCAAGTTACAGTTAACTGATTGATTTACTTCTCGTATGAAAAGACGACATTTTAAGATTGGAGTTTACTTCAATTTCTCTCAGGCTAAGGAATTTCCTAATGATGCCCTCCAGGATTCAGTACTAGGATCTCTTTTTTTCTTAATTTATATAAACGATCTTCCACAGACTTCTTACTTTTTGCTCAAGATGTGGAACTCTGGAGAGAAG